CTCCCCTGGTGCACCTTGAGGCCATTTCCTCTTGTCCCATCCCTTGTTCCTTGGGAGCAGAGCCCAGGCCCTCTTGGCTCCATCCTCCTGTCAGGCAGTTGTAGGGAGCAATAAGGTCCCCTCCAAGCCTTCTCTTCTCCACACTGAAGCCCCCAGGTCCCTCAGCTGTTCCCCATCACACTTGTGCTCCAGGCTCTGCACCAGCTCCGTTGCCCTTCTCTGGCCCTGCTCCAGCACCTCAATGTCTCTCTTGTAGTGAGGGGGCTGTGCAGCAAAACCCCTCCAGGGGCTGAGCTGGTGTTGGCTGGAGCACATCACTGAGTTCTTCCTCTTCACATGTTGCTGGTGCCTCCCTGGTGACTGTGAGCCGTTGGGCATTCCCGTTGGGAAGGCAAGAATGCAGGCAGCACACTCTTACCTGTCCTCTCATGAAGGCCTCTGCTAGGTGATGCACTGAGCACAGCACAGGAAAGGGTTTGACTCTCAGACTGCAGGCAGGTCAGCATGGAGGCGTCCCAGCAGAGCTGGGGGGAATGCTGCACAGTCGTCCCCCCCCTGCAGCCAGTGCTGCCAGTTCTGTTTTAGCTGTCTGCTCTCACCCTCACCCCGGGGGCTGCACTTGCAGCTTCATCCCTCAGGGAATGCCATGGAGCATACTGGATCCCAGCTGCCTGCAGACAGGAGGAGAGGACGGGATGCTGGCAAGTGCACTGGAGCTGTAAAATCCGCCTCAGAGCGCGTATCTGCTCGAGCAGGTTGAGCACAGCACATGGGCTCCTGCTCCGGAGGCGTTGCTGTTCCTCAAGCTGCACAAGCAGACGGCATTCCCCGATGTGCATTTGGGCACAACACAGGGAGTGATACCTCATTCCTTTAACCACTGTTTTCTTGGAGCAGGTAATGCTGAGGCTGGCTCACAGGCTCTTAGCTCTGCCTCTTTCCTCATGCAGGTCCCGGACTACCTGGATCACATCAAGAAGCCGATGGACTTTCAGACAATGAAACAAAACCTGGAAGCCTATCGCTACCTGAACTTCGATGACTTCGAGGAGGATTTCAACCTGATCATCAACAACTGTTTGAAATACAACGCCAAAGACACCATCTTCTACCGGGCAGCCGTCCGCCTGCGGGAGCAGGGAGGTGCTGTGCTGCGGCAGGCTCGCCGGCAGGCTGAGAAGATGGGCATTGACTTTGAGACAGGCATGCACTTCCCTCACTGCGTAACGGCGGAAGAGGCTCAGGTCCAAGACATCGAGGATGGTGGGTTCTCATCCCCTGTCCTGGGTATGAGGGCTGCTCGGAGGCTCCAGCTGTGCTGCCTGGCTGGAAGGACTGACTCCCCCCCTGTTGTCAGAGCCGAGTGCTTCCCTTTCCCCCTGTTGTGGGCTTTGCTGGCTGCTACAAAGCTCCTGATACCCCTCAGCCAGTGCTCACTGGCTCCATGGTTGTAGTTCTGCTTGTGTCTGGGCAGTGGGGAGCACCACCAGGTACAGCTTGTCCAGGAAGGGTCCTTTTACAGTCCTCTTTTCCCTGCTCCAGCACAGGTTAGGCTCAGACAAGGAACTTCCCTGCTTTGTAATGATTCAAGATCCTTTTGTCTTTTGTTTTTCCTGTTACACCCCCCCCACCACCTTTTTCCTTCTGTGTCCTTGCCCTAGACTATGGGAACCCTGGCATTCTCCAGGCTGGTTTCCCCACCCTGCTTCCCCCGTGGCTCCTTCTCCAGGTCTTTTAGGATAACTTCCCATGTTCACAAGTGTTTGGTGCCACCTCAGCTACTTGCCTCTGTGGGGAACCTGCCGTTTCAGGTAGAGTAGCTCCAAGGAGTTCCCAGTTTTCTTTCATCCATCTGCTCTTCTTTGTTCCCCAGAAGATGTGCGGCTGCTGCTCTCGGAGAACCAGAAGCACCTGCCTTTGGAGGAGCAGCTGAAGATCCTGCTGGAGCGGCTGGATGAGGTCAACGCTGGCAAGCAGAGCATCGGCCGGTCCCGGCGCGCCAAGATGATCAAGAAGGAGATCACAGTCCTGCGCAGGAAGCTCGCCCACCCACGGGACCTGGGCCGGGACGGGCTGGAGCGGCACAGCTCCTCGGCCAGGGGGGGCCTGCAGTCACACAACCCCTGCGAGAAGGACCTGCAGACAGACAGTGCTGCAGAGGAGAGCAGCAGCCAGGAGACGGGCAAAGGTACCTCATCTCAGTGTCCCTTCTGCCTGGATGGGGTACAGGGTGGGGTTGCAGCAGCCCCAGCTGATGAGCTCCAGATGCCGTCAAGTGCCAGCTACCAGCTCCCTGCCTCCAGGGCGGAGATGCTGGGCTCATGGGGAGCACAGCAAAAGCTCCAGGCAGAGCTGCCAGGTACCACTGAGGGTTTGCCACCTCTGCATCCCAGTTCTGCTTCCTAAGCAGAACTTTGACCTCATCCAGGCTCCTTGGCAAATAGGAAGTGTTTATGGCCTTTGTCTTTCAAGGGTGCAGTGGAGCTTTTCAGCTGTTTCCTTCATAATCTTGACTCCTGCTTTGAGATTGCCTGGGAGACAGGAAGGCATCCCTGGCTGGTGGAATGCTCTTTGATGTCCCCATCTAGCTTTTACTGCTGGCAGACTGGATAGCTTCACCCTGAGGGTGCAGGCAAAGCTCAGGATGGAGGATCTTCTGCGATAACGTTCCCAAGAAATGAAGCTATTCCTTGATGCTGCTGCTGTGTGGTCCGTGCAGGAACCACGGCCTGCAGCTGACACCTCCTCCCTTTTCCAGGTCTGGGTCCCAATTCTTCTTCCACCCCAGCACATGAAGTTGGCAGGAGGACCTCAGTGCTCTTCTCCAAGAAGAACCCTAAAACTGCAGGTCCTCCAAAGCGCCCGGGCCGCCCCCCGAAGAACCGAGACAGCCAGATCACTCCTGGGCATGGGAACAGCCCCATCGGGCCCCCCCAGCTCCCCATCATGGGCTCTTCCCAGCGGCAGAGGAAGCGAGGGCGAAGCCCACGGCCCAGCTCCAGCTCAGACAGTGACAGCGACAAGTCCACTGAAGATACTCCCATGGGTGGGTGCAGCAGGTCCCCCCTGCAGCCGGGTGGCTAACAGGGTCCCGTGGGGTTCTAATACTCTTTGGTGCTCTGCAGATCTGCCAGCCAACGGTTTCAGCAGCGGGAGCCAGCCGGTGAAGAAGAGCTTCCTGGTGTACCGCAACGACTGCAACCTGCCCCGGAGCAGCTCCGACTCCGAGTCCAGCAGCAGCAGCAGCAGCAGCGCTGCCTCGGACCGCACCAGGTACCGGCCCTGATGGGGGCTGCCCAGGGGGGCAGTGGGTGGCTCTCAGCCTTGAGCTGCTGCATGAGGAACCCATTTGGTGGTCCCTGTCCCATTCACCCTCCTGCAGCCTGGCTGCTGTTAGCTAAACCCTAGGAAGCTGTGGGGTTTGTGCCTTTTTATAGTGTAAAACCCAAAGGTGAGTGTGCAGCAAAGGGCTAGTAGGGAGTGTGAACCAGGAATTCCCTCTTGGCACTTCCAGCAGCCAGCTCCTGCAAGATCCCCCTGCCTGTGGCTCTGTTTTGGAGCCATGCACATCTTCTGAGTCCTCATGGGTGAAATGGGGTGAGGGTCTGGCTGAGGCACCAGAAGACTGGTGAGCCCCAGCAGAAGCACCATCCTTGCCAAAGTCCTTCCCAGTGCCAAGACCAGTGGTTGGAGCCCATGAGCCCTGGTGTTCCTCCAGGCTCGGAAGCCGTCTCTGGAAGCTTCACCACAGCTCCTGCTGACAGCTCTGCCTCTCTCTCGCAGCACAACACCCTCCAAGCAGGGCCGAGGGAAACCCTCCTTCTCCCGAGTGAACTTCCCGGAGGACAGCAGCGAGGACACATCGGGGACAGAGAACGAATCCTACTCTGTGGGCACGGGGCGAGGCGTGGGGCACGGCAGTAAGTGGGGTGGCTGGGGGCTGTCACTGTCACCCAGGGTGGCAGCAGCTGACTCTCCTCTAACCCCCCTCTCCTCCGGCACAGTGGTGCGCAAGGGCATGGGCCGTGGTGCGGGCTGGCTCTCCGAGGATGAGGATTCCTCCCTGGATGCTCTGGACCTGGTGTGGGCGAAGTGCCGGGGGTACCCCTCCTACCCCGCGCTGGTGAGTACCAGCGGCCACTCGCACACCACCAGGGCTCCCTCAGTCCCGCCAAGTGGTGCTGGGGGATCCCCATCACTCCATTCAGTGCTCCCCTTGTTATCCCTGCAGATCATCGACCCCAAGATGCCGCGGGAAGGCATGTTCCACCACGGCGTCCCCATCCCTGTGCCCCCCTTGGAGGTGCTGAAGCTGGGGGAGCAGATGACTCAGGAAGCACGCGAGCACCTCTACCTTGTCCTCTTCTTTGACAACAAGCGCACTTGGTAAGGCCGGGGCGCCGGGGGCTGTTTTGGGAGGGGGGCAACCGGAGACGATTGTAACCCTCAAACGAGGTTTTGCCCCATTCCCCGCAGGCAGTGGTTGCCCAGGACCAAACTGGTACCACTGGGGGTGAACCAAGACCTGGATAAGGAAAAAATGCTGGAAGGTCGTAAGTCCAACATCCGTAAGTCGGTGCAGATCGCCTACCACCGCGCCATGCAGCACCGCAACAAGGTGCAGGGCGAGCAGAGCAGCGACTCCAGCGAGAGCGACTGAGCGGGGCCCCCCCCGACGGCCGCTCCCCGCCGAATCTCAGGGCAAACGGGGCTCGGGGGGGGGGGTTCCCCGTGCAGCTGGTCTGCACCCGCCGGGCTTGGATGTCGCCGTCCCGGTGCCCGCTCCCGCCGCGCCCCGCCGTTGCTGTGTTCTGGCTGCACACACGCGCCCCCCCCCCCAGCCCCCGGCCGGCCCCGCGTTCGGACGTTGTTTGTATTTATTTTGAAGGAAGAAAAAAAAAATCTATTGATTCTTAGAAAATAAAAACCTCCGCTGCGCGCGGGGAACGGGAGCGGGAGCGGGGAACGGGAACGGGAACGGGGAACGGGAACTGGGCGGACCGCGCTTCCGGGTTGGGACGGAAGTGTGGGGATAAAGCGGCGCCGGCGCGGAGGGGAGCCCCGTGGTGCGGAGCGCGATGCGGGGCGGGGGGATGAAGCTCCGGGACACCCCATCGGCGAGCCCCGCGCTGTGGCGGGCACTGCCCTGCCCGGCGGCCGAGCTACGGCTGGACCTGGTGCTGCCGTCGGGGCAGACGTTCCGGTGAGCTCAGCGGGGCTCGGTTTATCCCGCACCCCCTCCGTGCCCATGCCCGTGGCCTCTGGGCTGGCCCCGACGTTACCCCCCCGTCCCCACCTACCACCCCAATGTGCGGCAGATGGAGGGAGAGCAGCCCCGGGTCCTGGACGGGCGTGCTGGGGGACACCGTGTGGACGCTGCGGCAGGAGCGGGACCGGCTCTGGTACACGGTGTACGGCGGGGAGGCGGGGGCAGACACAGACCGGCTCCTCCGGGAGTTCTTCCAGCTGGATGTGGGGCTGCGGGAGCTGTACCGCGCCTGGGGGGCCGCGGACCCCCTCTTCCGAGAGGCGGCCAAAGACTTCCCAGGTGAGGTGACCCCACGGGGGGGCACCCACAGCGCCCACCGGGCGCCCCCTTACCCCGTCCGTCCGCCAGGGGTGCGGGTGCTGCGGCAGGACCCCGTCGAGTGCCTCCTCTCCTTCATCTGCACCTCCAACAACCACATCTCCCGCATCACCGCCATGATCGAGCGGCTCTGCCAAGCCTTTGGCCGCCACCTCTGCCACCTCGATGCTCAGCCCTTCCACGCCTTCCCTTCACTCGCAGCACTCGCAGGTCCAGTGTCACCACACCGCTGTCACCAAGGCCTTGATGGCATCCACCCCTGATGTCCCTCAATGTCCCCACCAGGCGATGATGCTGAGGCCCGGCTGCGGGCGCTGGGCTTTGGGTACCGAGCCAAGTTCGTCAGCGGCACCGCTCGTGCCATCACCGAGGGGCTTGGCGTCGAGGGGCTGCACCAGCTCCGCACCGTGCCCTACGCCGAGGCCAGGAGGGTGCTGTGCACCCTGCCTGGTGTGGGCACCAAGGTGGGTACCGGCATGGGGCCGGGACGCGGAGCAGGAGTTGGGAATGGGTGGGTGATGGTGTGGTTTGGCAGCAGGTCGCTGACTGTGTGTGCCTGATGGCGCTGGACAAGGCGGAGGCGGTGCCGGTGGATACCCACGTGTGGCGCATCGCACGGCAGCGCTATGGCATGGAGCTGGGCGGCCGCAGCATCACCCCACGGGCGCACCAGGAGATCGGTGAGGGCAGCGCTGGGCCCGGACGTGTGCGACCCCCGGGATGGGGATGATGCTCCCGGTGCTCATCCTCTATCCACAGGCGACTTCTTCCGGGGGCTGTGGGGTCCCCGCGCCGGCTGGGCGCAGGCGGTGAGTACCCAACCCCGGGCACCACAGGGCTCAGCTCTCACCCCCCAGCTCACCCCATCCCTCCCCACACCAGGTCCTCTTCTGCGCTGACCTCCACAAGGGCCGGGAGCCAGCTGTGGGCCAGGATCGGGACAAGGAGAACTGAAGGCAGGACTGCCGTGGTGATGGGACCCCTTAGGGACACCCCAGGAGGGACAGAGCCCCCCATCAGCGGCTATGATGATGGGGGTCACCGCTGCCTGGGGTGCTTGTCCCCTGCCCGCTGTGTGCATAGTGTGAGCTGCTGCTTCCCTGGGCAGTGAGGCTGATGGGGGGGCTCAGGGCTGTGTGTGCACCCCACAGGGCAGGGCAGAGCCAAGCAGTGTTGGCCTCTTGTCTTTTATTACAAGCATTAAAATAGAAACATCCATTTGGAAAACTCCTTGATCATGCTGGGGTGTGGGGCAGTGCTGGGGCAGGCGTGGGGTGATGGGGGGGTGTGTGTGATGGGGGGCCCAGGACACAGCCCCAAGCTTGGGTGTGGGGGGGGGGCTCTCCTGGGGGCTGCCCCAATGCAGAGCTCTGCTATGAGCCTGCAGTGTGAAGCAGCCCCACACAGCTCAAGGGATCAGGGCTGGATGTATCCACAGTGCCCCCCCCCCAGCTCCCCACCCCACACGGTGCCCATGGGAAGGCCGGGCCCCCCCCTAGCCCCCCAGGACGTGTCCGTGTGGGGCCGTGCTCAGTGCGGGGGCAGACGCTGGGCTCTGCTTGGGGGCAGACGCCCGTGGTGTGACCCTGCAGGAGGAGCCAGGGGTCAGAGCCCAGCAGCAGCCCCAGTGGGGGCACGATGGGGATGGAGGGGAGGGGGGTCAGGGCTCACCGTTGCTGGTGCCCCCCCGCGGCTGCTCTCCGGGGCTGGTTGGTGCTGTCTGCATGAGGCCCTCCTGGCTGGTTCCCAGCTGCAGCTTCCTCATGTGCCTCACCACGGCCGTGGCATTGAAGGCTTGCTGCCGACCCCACAGTGTCCATCACCTGCCGTGGGGTGACTGGGGGGGCCCTGGACACCCCCTTTACTCCCCCATAGCCCCCCAGCACACAGTGCTCACCTTCCACTTGCTCTTTGCGAAGTTCTTCTTGATCTGCTCGCTCACTGACTGGTGGATGTTCTTATCAAGCGCCGTGTCCCCGGCGATCCTGGGGTGGGACAGGGGTCAGTGGGGCCTCCCCTGCCCCATAGCTGATGTGGGGTGTTATGGGGAGCAGATGGTGATGGGAACCCCCCTTACCAGGGATGCTGTAGGGCTTGCTCACAGGTGAAGCGCTTGCAGGGGTCCTTCTCCATCAGGTGCTGGATGAAGTCTTTGGCTGGGATGGGGCATGGAGCATGGAGCAGCCATGAGCACCTGCGCCTGTTGCTACCCCGGTACCATGACACCACACCGGTGTCCCCACCCTTCCATCCTGGTGTTCCCGCTCACCTGAATCCGAGATGTCATCCCAATAGGGTGAATCAAACTCATACTCGGCCCGCAGAATCTGCTCGAAGAGTTTGGCATCGTTCTCATCATAGAACGGGG